TCACCTCACTCACCTCACTCACCTCACTCACCTCACTCACCTCACTCACCTCACTCACCTCACTCACCTCACTCACCTCACTCACCTCACTCACCTCGCTCACCTCGCTCCACTCACTCACCTCACTCACCTCACTCACCTCACTCCACTCACTCCACTCACTCCACTCACTCCACTCACTCCACTCACTCACTCACTCACTCACTCCACTCACTCACTCACTCACCCACTCACTCACTCACTCCACTCACTCACTCACCCACGCACTCACTCACTCACTCACTCACTCACTCACTCGCTCACTCACTCACTCACTCACTCCACTCACTCACTCCACTCACTCACTCCACTCACTCCACTCACTCACTCACTCACTCACTCACTCACTCACTCACTCACTCCACTCACTCCACTCACTCCACTCACTCACTCCACTCACTCACTCACTCCACTCACTCACTCCACTTTGCATCCTGCTAGCACTGCCCGCCGTGGTGGGGATAAGACCACTTGATAGCTTTGATGGTGGTTTCGAGTGTGTTACGTTTTGAAGGTCTCATGCGGATCTGATCGCAAAATCCAGAGCCTCCAAACTTCTCTCTCCGCCTCCTTCTCTCTCTCTCTCTCGTTCCTCTCATCCTTGTTCATCACACCATCAGACACTTTATCACACACCCACACACACACACACGCACGCCATCTTACCACACACACACACCTCCTCCCTCCCCTCCTTCTCATCCTCGTCCATCACATCATCATACTACACGTCTTAGCACAACCGCCTCATATACCTTCTCTCCTCACACTTCGTTCTTGACTTTTCATCTCACTACTCCGTCTCCCATGTGATGTTCATATACATTTGAAATTTGTAAAACTTATCATGTGGGGTTATCCGGTCCTTTTATTGTTTATTTTTTGGAATCGACTAGTAGTTGACCCCTCTCTCACCAACCTCCCACGAGATACCCGTGGATGACTCCAAGCTAAAAGCGGGCAACCCGACAATTCGCCATCCCCTTCAGACCAACTATCTAGATCTTTTCGCCACACCTCATCACCTCTCCCTTCCCCTCGGCTGCTCGTCTTTTGCGGTGGGATGGCGCCCAGGTGAACATGAGATCCTCACTTCCAGAGATGCACAAAGCCCGAGGCACACGCAGGCGAGCCCGGGTGTGCTCGTCTTGGGGTCTGGCTCGAGCCAGCGGCGAAAGCCCTTTTTGCGCGGTGGCAGGTACATCGATGGACCCTTTATTAAAGGGAAGGTCGATTCCTGACGACTGAACACACGGATTCACTTCATTCTTTCTTTGTAATCCTTCTTGGTACTCGTAGGAAGCTGATCCTGAAAACTTCGTTCTCGTGAATGAGAATTAATGTCTTCTTGACGCCAAAGATTGGACGTTGCTTGCGCAAGACTTCCATCAAGCACGATCGTGCTCTTTATCTCAAGTGGTTCAAGGGTCCAGTGGTTTCTCGGGAAACCACTGCTCGTCCACTGGAGGAAGTCGGCCCACAACTTTCGTCCCTGGTCCCTACAAGTTCGCCTGAGCCGAACCCAAGCCACGCAGCCAGGCGCGCTGCGCTTGGGCCTGCAGAGGCTCTCTTTGGTGGGCAGAATCACGGCTATGGAGCCTTCTGAGAGCGGGTTCTGCGCGATCGCACGCGTTTTCGCACGCCGCCTCACGTCCGAAAAGAGCCGGTGATGGTCAGCCTGGGTGTGCTTTCCAAAGGGCAGCTTGCAGTTTTCAGGGCTACAAATGTAGTTGTCCATGTCAGTGGCACAAACGGCTTGGCTTCAGTTATGGGTCGACAGCCTGCAGTACACCGCAAATCTTAGCACTGTGGTTGCAAAAAGCAGTCTAACCCAACTTCTTAGGCATCAAAAGCCGAATCCAAAGCCTCCAGAGTTCCGTCGTTTTTCGCATGGGTTGCCGAACCGGGGGAACCTTCCATCGTGTCTCGCACCTCTCTTCATCGTGTCGGCCTTGAGGCACTTCGAGGAGTCTCTGACCTGCTCGGCCGCAGGCGGAGAAGTCCGGAAGTCTTCGGGACCAGAAAACCCAGCGAAGCACAGGGTGGGTGCCGAGGCCCGGGAGAAATTCAGTCTTCTATGAGCACTGCAGATGTTTGAGACAAGCTGGAGTGGTTGATCTTGGTCATCAAGTTCTTGAACCTCCTGGTACGTGTGGGTTGGCTTTTCAGACCAGCCCACTGGCAGGAGGTGTGGGCAGCCCCTCAAACAGGGGCCCTGGTCCTCCCCAGCTCGGACGAAAGCGCGGAGAGTTGATCGCTCCGCGGACCGCAGGGTGTGGCGAGAAGGCCCACATGTTCATCCGAAGTCTGTGAGAAGGCCCCCCCAAAACACGCTCCATGTTGGAATGAGATGCACCCCTGCAATGATACGACCCCTGCCAACGGGTATTTCAGAAAAGGAAAGGCAGGTGGAGGGAAAGCTCAAAAAGACATGGTGAATTCTCAGATTGCCGAAAGGTCTTTCGTTGCGAGTGACACTTCCTGAGAAGCGAGCGTCGCTTGTTTTGCAGGAAAGCTCTACGTTCTGCAGCTGAAGCACTTGCTAATGATGCTCTCAGCAGCCCAGCATCTTGGAACGCATCTTGCATGTGCAGGTGGCCCATGTGTGGAAAACACATCCTGCCTTTGTTTCTACTAGCGTTCTTGTTCCTAGTAGTAAGGCCCTTGCTCCTAGTAGCGATGCCCTTTGCTCCTAGTAGCGAAAAAGCTCTTAATATTTTGTAGACAAACATGTTGGATTAATTCTTTTTCACAGGCCATCCACTTCATCCTCCGTCGGTTTGGGTTGGATTCGGCGCGCTTGTTGACTCAGAAAAACGACGCTAACAGGCTACAGATCCTGTAGATCTCTGCACAGGCGACCGGTCGCCTGGACCCATTTCATCCTCCGCCGAGGCAGGAAGCCCTGACCCGCGCGGCACAGCAAGAACGCAGGCACCGACCCGCGCAGCCGGCACCGGCGTTGGGTGGGGCCGGGTCGGTGCGTGTCGGATAAAGGGCGGGTGAAGAAGAAGCTCGGATTGGTTGGTGAAAATATGGCGTGAAGTCCCCTGTTCTTTGATTGTTAACATGGGTTCACAACATTGCTCTTTGGTTATGAACTCCAGTCCTTCCCTCATTTTTTTGTATTATTTTGGAGTTCCTTTTCTTTATTGGGACTGCACAAACTGGACAGGTGAATCTTGGGGTAACTACAACAAACCCCTCCAGAGAAATCCTTTCCTTCATTCTGGCGTCGCGTATGTATTGGGCGCCCTCCGGGCTGGGCGGGTTGCACTATGCAGGTTTCACTGGGCACGTGCAAGCTTGATGAGGGCCATGAACAGACGCCCAGCAAGGCCACGGGGGGTGGTTTTGTTAAGCATGGGAGGTGGGAGGAGGTTTCGGTTTGAACGCACGGGAGTTTGTTGTTTTCTTTTTTTCTCACCTCCAATCCTTTTCATACTCGGCGCAGGTTTCTTCGCTTGGGGGGATGGGCAAAGGATCAAAATGGGCAAAAGGTGCAGGATTGATCAATGAGCAGACCTGCCTACAGGTTCGGGGTAGTTGAATTAAGTTGTACAACGGGGTCGAAGCAGCCAACTGCCCAGAACCCTGGGGTTTAGAGAACGGATGCACGGAAGTGTCCGAGCGCAAAGGGCGGCGGAGTTTCAAGAGCTCCCCATTTTTCCCTATGCCATTTTCAGCCCTCACAGTCGCAGATGGTCTTGTGGATCTCCCATGAAAACAGCCATTGAAAACAACACTATGCCCCTCTCTTCCAAGAGACTCAGTGATATCTCAAGGCCCATCGCAGGGCCCCAAATTCTCCTTGTGCCGGTACTGAGGCAACTCTATGCCGTTGGGGGCCGCCTGGCGGCTTTGGGCGAGGAGCTGCGGGCGCTGGCCCAGGCAGCGCAGCTGATTCTTTCCGCACAAAAAGCTCGAGCGACCAAGAAGTCCCGACAAAGCCCCAGCGGGTTCCAAATCGGCACACGAGGATCTCCACATCGGCTTGTTCTGGAAGACATCTTGGGTCAACAGCTTTTGTGGGTCTCTCACTGGGGTTTTCCACTTCATCTTGACCCATGAGAAGTAACGTTGGATACAGCAGATGATTATTGAATGTATCGAAATGGCGAGACCCTCCAACGCCCGAGTAAAGATCGATCAAGGCCTGTTGGTCTCGAAATGGTCTACATGAAAGCTCTTCTGGCACTTCGAAGATCTCACTGTTCTCACGTCGACTCGCACAGGGCGGGGATCCAGAGGCAGGGCGGGTCAGGGGGCACTGAGGGCCATGAAAGCATGCAGCAAGTAGAAAGAGAGCCGAGCCGAGCATGGTCGACCCGATAAAAGGTTGCTTTTTGGTGAAGAACCGAATTGGATGGAGGAGATGGAGAACAGAAATGACAAGAATATGGTTGTTGTCGCAATCGCTTTGCATGCGTTTTGTATTCGTTGTGTTTGCTGATGGCATTTGGTTTGAGTAGCCGCCATCCTAAACACCTGCTTGGTGTTGCATCTCTTTGCCCTGGCACTTTGAAATGTGGCCTTTTGCCTCAACCTTATTGCTGGAGTGGCATAAGCACCACAACACCTGGACCGTCGGTCGGACCCAAGACACCTACCCAGTCAAAGAGTCCTTTGAGAAGGGAGTCTCCAGGTCAGGTGGGTGATGATTTTCACACTTTCATGCTGGTTTTCAGTGAAGATAGGATGCGATGCTTTCCGCACCAAAGTACCCTTTGGGATGGGATGTCTTTGGACACCTGGGCCACACGACTCAGAGAAGTTCAGAGTTGATTCGTAGATGCACCTGGTTGGTCTAAGTTTGGTTGGTGGTATACAGTTGATTGTATTTTTTGTCACTGCTTGTCTCCATCGACCTGGTTGACCGTGGCTTGTCTTGAAAGACCTTGATGTGTTGATGCCCGTTGGTGAGAAGAGTATCTGAACATCTGTCATGCACTGAATCCTATGAGAGGATTGCATGATCCCTGCCCCTCCTCTCTACAGGTCACACGTCTCCTCTCAGCTTGCTGGTCCGCAGCTAAGAGCCCGAAGAGCAGACCGATGAGAGCATAGGTGACACCTCGACAGCCGACTTGCAAGCTTGAATGCGAACACATGTGGGTGCGAGGACATGATATACCTCGTGCACATCTTTAGATCATACATCGCCAGACTTCTTTTCCACAAAACCCTGCCTACATCTCAACAAACATTCCTTTGGTGGTCGCCACCGCGCAAGCGCGACTGCTTGGATATCAGACATCGGCTCACTCCTTCGAGGTCCGCTGAATCCTTGGAGCGGAATCCGCGGAATCGACCGCTTCACACGACCGCCGCACGGGAGAAGGCGGCAAAGTGTTCGGGCACGTTTTGGGGCTGCGAAGTGTTTGGGCGCAGCTTTCAAAGATGGTTGCTTGAAGGAATTGATTGTGTGCTCAAAAGGACATGCGATGCGTCAGGTGCAAGAGTTCTTTCGGGCAGTGATTTGTCAACATATATATATATATACATAATTAGACACATAGATCGACACATATGACATCATCTGCAACATCTGAGAAAAAAAACCACTCCTAGACCGAAGACATTTTTTCACTCTTGGGATTTGCATCAAGAGGCAGGCAAACAACCCGCAAGCTGCTGCCTTCAGCAGCTCACTCTTTTTCTCCTCTGATGCTTCTGCCGGTTAGGGGTATCTCGTCGAAGAAAAAAAGGAATTGTACAGTGGAGACTGGACAAGTGTTTGGTGAATCTGAGCTCAGATGGTCCGAACATGTGCTCATTTGGGCTGGGTGCTCTATTTTTGGACATGCTGAGAATTCCTTGGAGCTTTTGCCCCTCCACTGTACTTGTACATACTTTCAGGCTTCTCGCCCCCAAGATTATCCTGCATTCTAGCATGTTGCATCCTTAGTGCCAACTAACTTCCCTGAACCTCCAGAAAAGATTCATTTCTACGAAGTTAGTTCACACGTTCATGTTCAACCTGGTGCAACTTGCCGAACCTTTTGTTTTTCACGGGCACTTCGCTGGGGGCTCGGGCGGCGCAGATTCCACCACTGGAGCCGGACCTTAGCCGAGTCCCACAAGAAGAGGTGCCAAAGACGTCGCTTGGAGTGGAAATTTGGGGATCGGACTTGGGTCGACTGACAGGTTGGGAAGAAGCAACTCATTTGTGGCCCACATCAGTCACCTAATAATCACCCAATTCTTCCAAATAATCCCGCAAGTTATTTACATAATAATTTTCAACATCGATGATCTCGATGGGCCTACACTGGGATGGGAGCATGGAATGGTCGAGCACTTTGAGCAAGGCTGCAACTTTTGTTGCGCTGCCTAAGGCTGCAACATGATCTTGCCCAAAAGCAGTGGTCGTGGATGGTCGTGGCAATTGACAGCAAGCACGGTGTGTCTATAGTGTCTCAATTTCTATACTGGACTGCCGTATCGATATGGCAGTCCCTTCGCGTTGGTTCCCTTTGAGGAATGCAGGCACGGCACGGTGCCCCCCATGGCCGAACCACCGGCATGGGCCGTGGTGGCTTGGCCGGTGCCTGACTCGACGTTGTTCGACATGGAGACCGAACCCCTTTGACAGGCATGGCTCCTCAAGCACGCGCTGCTGGATTTTGGATACATGATACACCGCCATGGCAGTTTCAAGGTGATGCGCAATAAGGGCATTGGATCAAGGGTTGGAGGTGGATGGCCCATGGCTCTTCCATGCTCTTCCTGCAGGCAAGTCTTGTTGTACTACTACAGTGTACTTACATGCCTAGAATAACCTGAATGACCTATCTTGGACCACCAACCACCCCAAGTATGGCCCTTTCCCATGAAAAGAGGTCATGTGTGGGTTATTCTAGGGTCGTTTGTGTGCATCTTCGGCGCCGGCGTACTTGTGCCGACCATGATCCTTCCACGGGATCAGGTCTTACGAACATGCTTTCCGACAGACCGACGAGTCCAACATCGTAGGTGCAAGAAGATCGCTGAACAAGGCTCTTGAAACCTCCTGCCGGAATGCTGCTGGCCAGATGCGTCTGGCCTGTTCCTTGGAAATCATCTTTATCCATTTCCTTGCGTTGGCAGGGGAACATCATCGCCCCAGGACCCTTTTTGATATTCATTTTTTGGACAGGCCTACACACATATAATACAATCTACAAACAAATTATATAGCTTGCCAAGCGTTCCATGCCCAGGTCAGTTCAGTCCCGGAAGCCGAACGACCCACTTGCCCATCAGGGTTCTCCGGCGGCCTCAAACTGCAGAGGTCACCCGCCTCTCTCGCGCCTCCCTCGGGCGTCCGAGCGATGGCCGTCTGAGGCGCCTGCATTCCTCGCTGCTGGAGCTGTGGTCCTCAGACGTTTTGGCCGACCGCCAAAGCCAGCGGTCGGGGCAGCAGATCGGAGCAGCTCGGCGATGATGAGCGTATACTGCATGCGCTCCCATGATAGAGCCCCTGGAACACACCGGGTGTTAGATCTTCGCGCATTTTGCATATTTTGATTGCGCAGGCTCGGGCAAATGGTTGTCCCGAGCAGGTGCTTTCCTCAACTGAGCTCTCGTTGTGGTGGCGAGTGCATTTTTGGACTGGTGATCACTTTTCGTGGCAGGTGCAAGGGAACGCTTGTTGTGTTTCGGTGGTAAGAAGTCGAATCAGATCGGCAGTTGTACTTCGATGTGTAGATCTCCTAGCAGGCGCAGCACTTTGGACTTGGTGGTGGTTTTTGGCGTGCTCTGATTTTGTGCGGTGAATCGCGCACTTGGCTAGTTTTTGAAATTTGGGAGAAGGACTACGCGGAAACTTTCTGTGGAAGACCCTTTGCTGTGAAGGTCAGATTGCGTGGCAGGCGCATCACTTTGTGAACATCGCTGTGCAGCTTTGTGAACATTGAACTGCCAATTTCACCTGCAGCTTTCGCGGTGGTTGCAGCGCTTTGTTAACCTCAAGGTGCACATTTTGTGGCAGTAGATTTCGAGGCAGGCGCAGCACTTTGTGGACTGCAGATTTTGTGACAGGCTCTCACATGAGCACTCTCATATGTATGCTCTGTCAAATCAGTGCCCTCACATGTGTGCTGTCATGGGTATGTTTTCATGCGTGTGTTCTCATATGTATGCGCTGATATGTTTGCTTTCATACCGGCTTGCGTGCTCTCATGTGTGTGCTGTCAGATGTCTGGTGCCATGTGTGTGTGTGTGCTCGTACCTTGTGATCTCACATGTGTGGTTTCATATGTGTGCTCTCTCTCTCTCTCTCATATGTGTGCCCTCATGTGTTTTCTGCCATATGGCCATATGCGTGCTCTGACATGTGTGCATTCACTACACTGGGGTGCCAAAAGTTGCGCTTCTTGACTTCTAAAACATCACAAACCCTTTCCCCTTAGAATCCTACGTGCAACATGTCGACACCTCAGTTGCGGTCAGATTTCCACACCTGAAAGCCTCACAAATATTGTAAATTTAAACGGGTGTGGAAATCTGACCGTGCTGTACCTGCCACGCAAAATGGACGTGTTAATCCGATCCGCTGTAGACCGCAAGTGTCATGTTGGAACAGAGTAAGAAGCGTAAACTTTAGGGTTCTTGAAGTAGTGTGCTATGACACCTGCAGCCCCAATGTGCACGGGGAAGGATCGCTCCAGTAAATTGAGCACACTGCTGTTGTTCTACTGAGCACTCTTTAGGGTGTGTTGCCGGGATACTTTAGTTTGTAAGTTCACCCAACAACTTGTGCTGAGGTCCTTCATGGCTTTGGCCCGGCTGTTCAGGCTCGGCTGTGGCATCGGTGGTGGGCAGTCAGAGTGTAGATGGGGCGTCTGTCATTGTTTGGAACCATCATGACCAACCATTTACACTGAGATTGTGGCAGAAAACAATTGTGGAAAGGCGGGGTTGTTCTAAGATTGTGGCAGTTCAGTTTTTTTACACCAACACTTCCGGAAAACATCACTATACTGTTATTCTTTCCTATATTGGAGGGGTGTCAACATCACCCATTGGTGGATTAAATGCTTTAATAGACATGGGTTCCTTCATGTCACGACTTGTTCCTTGGACGAAGGAGTTGGGCGCTCACTTGCCCCCTGCCTTCCGCGCCGTGAGGCCAACCGTTTCAGGACGCAATTCTTTAAGGCTCGAAGGGTCGGAACGAGATCGGATGAGGCGTTGGGCCTCCCTGCAAAGGGACGCCCAGATGAAGTCAATTCCGTGGCGCATTCTCCAGAATCTCATGTTGTCTTCTGATGTTTAGTCTTTGTTTTTGTAAGTTGTGCCTTGGTATCAGATTGTTGCAAGGAGGAACAACCTGTTTTTTCTAGAGTTTTTTTGGGGGCCGGTCTTGCCAACCCAGGGAGGCGTGGCACTTTCAGGCGATCTGCGAAGGAAGAAGGTCTCAGATTGACACCCGAGTGCTGCAGTGCCAACATGTGCCATCAGGAGGGATGAACCGGGATGGAGTTCTCTCATGGTTCCACAAAAACATTAGCTTCATTCATGGAGTTCTCAGATCTGCGTCAAATGACAGATTTTGGACCGACAGTTTAGAAGAACAGTCCCTATGTGAGAGAATGGCGCAGGGGTTTTGGTCTGCCAGGTTCCGACCGGGTTGGGGGCGCCCAAGTTGGCGCTGGCGCATGGCGCCCGCTACGGAATCGACTAGGAGACCTGGGGGTGTGGATGTGTATGGTGTCTTGTGAAAAGGGAGACCCCACAGAGATTTAACTTGTTGGTGTATGATCCGCACCCATGGATTGAGCTGAGTATTCTGCAAAGATCCCAGGTGCTACTTGTACAGGAATTTGTTGCAGCCAGCTTACAGTCACTGGACCTCACATCCCCAACTTGTCTACCTTCACGATTACAGGTGCATCACGTGTATCCGCACATGTTCTACCCACCATCATCTGGGAACTGAAGGGATTTTACTCATATTACTACTATTATCATCTTCAATATTTTCGTTACTTATTTGTTTCCTTTCGAGAGATTGCCCAAGCAGTGGTCTATTCTCCCGACGCTTCCTCAATGGTCGGTCCTTTCCGGTGGTCGGTCTCCCACGGAGAGGGGACGGCCCAGCGCTTCGTCTTCGCTCGGTCGGTTTCAAACCTCCAAACACCCGGGTGGTTGGGTGGGTGGTTGACTAGATGGATTGCGCGGCATCTTGATCTGGTCAAGCGCGTGACCCGGTGGTTTTAGGCCCTGATCGGGTGGTTTTAGGTGGTAAAAAAGGAGCTGACCCGGTGTGAGTGTGGCCCCTTTCATCCAAGCGACTTCCCACCCAGGCCCTGGTCGCACGCGAGGCTGAAGGCCTCGGCCACGGAGCCAGCGCCTCTCGGCAGTGTCACCTATGTGCAGGGGATTGGAATTGCAGTGGATCACCCTGCAGTGTACATCATACAACCAACTACACAGCCCGTTTTCAGTGGGTGAAGGGGGGAGGTTTCCTCACTCCAAAGGAACAGATGGTTTCCGTTCTTTTTGCAACTTTTTATGTTTCCAGGGATCGGTCCGGGTGTTGGTGGAGAAGCACATGGCGCACTTGTGTGCACCACAGGGCCTTGGTCCAACCTGCAGGAAAAAGCACTAGAAGGGCAAACTAAAATCTTTGTACGCCGCAAAGTGGTGGTCTTCGGTCAACTTTGTTTGGATAGAGGCCACCCTGTCCCAAGTGGAGTGTTTAGATGTGCTAGGGCCCACACTTTGAATAGTAGGGATGGTCATGAAAAGGACCTTTGCACAAACCAATAGCCAAGGAAAGGAGGATCATTCTGCACAGAAGTTTTGAATAGTTTTGACCCGTAGAGCATATGGAGTCGGAGCATCGTGTTGATGGAATTTATGTTCCAGATTTGGCGCCAAAGCCCATAGAAATCCGGTGGTTTGTCATGTTTTCTTGTACAATCCTAGGGCCCAGCTCTATTTCCTCTTGGTGCAGGATGCCTCTATGCTATAGAACTTTAATATGGAGGAGCATGTTCAGCCAAGGCTCCGGAAGCAAAAGTCGATGAAGGCCTTATCGGGAGGCAGGGATGTCGGAATCCACACGAGCAGCGACTGCGTTGCACAGTGCCAATGGTTGAAGAGAGCGGAGGGCGGAGCAGGTCATTCCATCGTTTGGTACAAAGGTAGACCATTTTGAACGTTTTTTTGGTTCATCGAATGTACTATTTTTACAACACGATTGGATCGAACTAAGGGTATCGGTATGGAGTTTGGGGTGAAAGCACATCGATGCTCTTCATTTCATAGTCATATCGTTTTGTTGTCTCGTCCTCCCGCCGCCGTCCATCTCGATCGAGAGGGACTTTTGAGAGAATGAGTTTGGGGAGGGGACTCCAGATGGCTTAAGAGGAGTTATGATTGATGGATTGGTTATATAAAGGGAAATCCCCGGAAACCCATGGTCTTTGCTCCAAAACTATGGGGTTTCCCGTCGATTTTCCCGTAAACCAATTCTGGCATATGAAGCATCAGCCAGGTCAACCATTGATTCAGTCCAGCCTTCTGAAAGCCTGCGAAACAGTCGCCTTTTCTCAGGAGACGAAGAGCCAGAAGTGGGGCATCCTCAGTTCATCCTTGGTGCGAATTTCAGAACAGCAACAGGGACAAAAAGCATCCATCCACCTGACAGGGTACTGGCCAAGATACTACTTTGCGTGATGTTTTTGCTCCCGTTTCCTGGATTCTACACCATGAATTGAATCCTTTGAGGTCGTGAATCAAGATGGCACCTCGCCCGGAAAATAACCAGGTTTTTTTGAGTTCAGCACGGGGAATTGGGTCAAGAACTGTAAATGGTGCAAGCTTTTTCATTACGTTTCCCCATGTGGTTGGGTCCGATCGCGCCCTCGGATCTAGAGGGCTATTACTGGAGAGCGGCAAGCAAACTGACCCACATCCATGCTCGTATTATATTGAGTACAGGCTCTTTGAGAAATACTGTAAGAAAAGCTGACTATCTCCAGGGGCATTAACTGGACCAAAGGTCCTCGACCAAAGAAACAGCTTCACAGTCCTTCAAGTGTCCCCACGCCATGCCTAGCCTAATTGAGCACTCCATGGGATCTGACTAAGCTACCAAGCTCTTTTTCATACTTCCTCCTAGTAGCGATGCCCTTTGTTCCTAGTAGCGTCCTTGCTGCTAG